CCCCCCCTGCTTATGTCTACCCCACCAGAACACAATACTAGGGCCATAGCAGAAGAGTCAGAGTCCAGTGGGACAGATGCTATAATCCAGAACCCTGGTGCAGGGAACTTCTTCTCTGGGGCCAGCAACTTTAATGTTACGCACAGTAGCTTCACCACCCACATTCATCAAAACCACAGCCAGCCTGGGACAGCATCTATTGATGGAGGTCAGTGTCATAAATATATTGAGATATAACTACTTATTGTATTGAATCCCTGCCTTGCTAGCCAACTTCCGCAGAATTCTCTTGGGAGATGTATACCTTCAACAGGAATTTCCTACATTCACCTTGGGAGCAAGAAAAGTCTACAAAGCACAGCTAAATGGAAATACTGTAACAGTATCAGTTTATCAGGGAAATGCCATGCCAAAACAGGTAATATATCATTCTCCTACATGGCAAATGCTAACTTTTATAGAACTGGGAAGAGGAAGTGAAATTGATGCAGAGGATCAGGTGACTTCCAAATGATGAAACAAGTGGAAAGCATAATTTATTGTCTAGACATCCTCATGTGCAACAACTCTATGGAATTGTCAATGCTGATATCCTTTACATGACAGTTTACCATGGAGGTTGGTAAAGAGACTTGAGATCATCTGTCTGATTTTTCCTTTAGAACTTGTATCATATTCGGACATCCATCATTATCTAACCCCACAGGACCGAATTAAGACATATTTTCATACCGTAAGCCCAAAATGTCCAGGTTTTCAAGTTAATAATTGACTGAGATATAGAGATGTGCTTTTCCTGTAAGTATTCATATTTGTTCAGGCCTTTCCTTGACAAATACAAGGCAGCCTTGGATGCCATTCAGTATTCCCGAGGAGGCACTGATCCTTATGGTTGGCTGAGGCCAGTATGTAAATGCTTTTTAACTTTTACTTTTATAATTGAAACATTCAGGGCATAACAATACAGATTAATATAATGACAAAACAATTGTCACTTGGTATTGATACAGAGGCCCTACCTGATGAGAGCTTTGGACCAAACAATGTAGCATCAGCTCTTGGACATCTTAGCTCGCATTGGATAAATGCACCACCAGCCGGAGATTTGTCCAGTTTGTTTAGGACAGTAACACCTGATGTGCTTCTGGATGCTGTCTCTCTTGATAGCTGTTTAGTATATAAAGAAAAGTGCATAGGATTTTGTCCCAAGAATCACATGGTTATACAGAGGAAGGCCACTCCCTATGCCAACTACACCGAGCTAGTGTCACATAACTGGAAACTCATAGCAAGTTTTCATACACCCAGAAGAATTAAGAACTATAAATGGAATTTCGACAATAACACCCTGAGCTCTCTGCCTAATGGATGGTCATAGTATGTTACTGTCTTTTTCTACTTTTTTGCCCAATTTCACTCTTAACATCCTTTTAGTCATTCTGTGGGACCTAATACATCTCCAGGAGTCTACCATCTATATACCGCCTCAGAACACGAGGATGAGAACATATGGAAGAGCCAAGCTATATATCTGCTGTCTTTGCTGAATGCTCCTATGGATCAGCTTGCATCTTATGGTAAGATACAAACTTATAAATAAATGAAATCTGATTTTGCATAAGCATTTATAACATCTCATAGTGTTATAGTTGACTTTCCAGTAGGCTCTTCTGGCTGTCCCAAGGGATTTTTGATGCTATGTCATGCGAACTATGCACTTTTTAATATGCAAGATTCAAAGGATATTGCATTGTGGTCTCTGGATGCTGAGGGCACACGAAAATTGAGTCCCAATGAAGCACTTGCTCTCAGATTCCCTCCTCTAACTATAAAGGAGTTCTATTTTGGCCAGTATATAAGGCAACCATCATATGATGAATTGTGGACAATACAAACATCACAAGGATATGATCCTACTACCCTAGACCTTGCAAACAGCCTAAATTATCCCATTTATGAGCTAGTGCCAAAACAAAATGAATGTATGTGACTCTTAGCATTATTCAGTCTAAACTGACATATGATAGCATTCTGGGAAGAGATGGGGGGAGAAGAAGGCTTCTTACTGACCCAACTCTTTGAACACGACTGTGATAGTACTGCCAAGATTATAGAAACCAAGACTCTATCAGTTGGCCAAATGCCGACAAAACACAGTCTGGCCCAGTGCAAAGTTATTATGTCCAATCTGACATGGTATCTTCTTACGATGTTGTCTATACTAGCTATGGCCTCTTTGGGACTATTGAGCATCTGTAAAGCTTGATGAGTTATCGGTATATGTGGTAGAGAAGCTGGAATATATACATATATTGTAGTAGTGCCCCGTGGCCGCCATGTGGACTCCACAATCACGTGATATTCACGTGTCACACATTCAGGCATTATCAGCCACCAACATTCTTTCCTCACCACTCTTTTCCACAATTTTCCTCATTCCACACTACCACTTATTCCATTATATCTGAACTCAATGTCACCGTGCGGACACTTGGGTACTGGCTGGACAGGGTTCTAAATTGGGCTGGTTACCCATAGTCAAAGCTGAGGGGAGCAACTACACCTACACGTTATGTCCAGAACCTATTGATAGGACATGTCACGGTTCGGGTCGGGCCGTTCGGGCCTGCGTAGGCCCACACAACCTCCATACTCCTCAACACTCCCCCCATTCTTCTAACCCCTTCCCTTCACCCCTGCAAGCCCTACGCAGCGCCCATCCGATCCATCCCTAATCTCTTAGTGTATAAAAACCATACTTACAGGATATAGTTGCTAGGCTAATATCATCTATTCTCCGGGCTTAAACCCCACTTTTGTGCTCCCCAGACCTACTCGCAGTCGGACCACCCGACGACCCGATACGGCCTGACCCCGATGCTGACAGAATATTAGCCTCCCCCACAAACGCAAAAAGTACGCCAAGATGTCTACCGAGCATGACAGTACGATGGGCACCCCTGTGAACCAGGGGGACGAGCGTGCCCAATTCATGGCCTTGGGCCATAACAAACAACAGGAGTTCCTGTTCGCCTATCTATTCCGAACAAATCAGGAGATGGAGCAACTTAGGGCCGAAAACACCGCCCTGGCAAATCGACAAGTGGCTATCGAGGCCGAGCTGTCCCAAGTAAGCGGGGAATACACAGCTGTACAGCAGGGAGTTACGCAGAGCTACGATTTGCTCCGCCAAGCCAGAGAAGACCTGGCCCAACGACAAAACGGGGGAAACACCCAAGTAACTGTCTCTCCCCCTAAGGGGTTCACAGGTGAAGCCGGGCGAAGTAGATGCCTTCCTGGCAGACTGTTGGCTCGCCTTCGAGGTCAACAGGAACGTCTACAACGATGAGGTACGAAAGATCTCGTACGCTCTCTCTTACATCAAAGGGGGAAACACGGTCATGTGGAAAGAGAATGTTTCCCAAGCCATCAAGCTCTGCACTGCGGAAGCTTACACTACGTATGAAGGCTTCAAAAAAGCCTTTATTGCGGCCTTCCGAGGGGAGTACGAGGAATAAGGCATGTGTGATTGCATAGATTATAAGTTGGCATAATTAAATCTTTATTGCATAAAAACCAGATACCGAAAATAGAGACTGAATCGAAATTGGATCATAAATATACAACAACTTGCGATGGGGCTGGTACTGCTAGACCCTGGCATACATATACAGGGGCAGGGGCCATATCTATCTTTTGCATGGAGGGCCCAGTCGTTCTAATGTCAGAGGCGTCAAGCCAAACCTTGTCGCCGACTTGGATACTCGGGGCGTCCAAACGCTTCCGATTGTAGTACCGTTTATACTTGTCCTTGGCTTTAACGAGCGCGGCCTTTGCTTTGGAGACACCGTTCGCTATCCGATCACGAAACTCGTTTACTGACTCCAGCTCAGAATGGGCGCCTGGCTCAAAACACATTTGGGGGAGCCAACCTGTGTCCGTCATGAAGGGTACCTGTTGAGTGGAGGAGTGAACATGATTGTTATAGGCAATGGTAACAGCTGACCTTTGCAGAACCGGGAAGAAGAAGTGAAATTGATGCAGAGCATCAGGTACCTTGAATGTTAGGAAACAAGTAGAAAGGCTAATTTATGGTCCAGACATCCCCATGTGCACCAACTCTATGGAATTGTTGACACTAATATACTCTACATGGCTGTCTATCATGGGGGCCGGTATCCAGCAGTCAGCAAGAACAATATATTTGATGTTTTCTATAGAACTTGTGGCAAAAGATCAGCTGCACCATTATCTAAGCACACAGGAACGGATCAAGATATGTCTTCATAATATTTCGGCAGTCACACACATCGACAGGAGGCACCGAAAATTTAATTTCGGCGCCGATGTCACACCCTTTTGGCGTGCCGAATTGAATAAATTGCTACAGTATAGAATATTGATTGTCCAGGATGTTTTAGAATGCACAGCCGCAATGACTCGAACTGGGTCATACTGACTCCAACTGAGTCATAGTGCTTCAAGTTCTTTTGTCTGACTTTGATTCTGACTCTGGTCCTCTGGTCAATAGGGCACTTAACAGACGGTCATTGGTGTATTTCCCAAATAAATACTGAACGTGAGTTAAATCCACTCTTGTTGGCTGAGGCTAGCATGATGGAATAATACTTGTCCGAGTCTTGACGTGAAGACGGCCAGGCGGTCGCCGCCTCAGCTACGTAGTACATCTGGGGGTATTGGTATGTTTGCGTGAACACACCTTGGACGCGTACATATCCTCATCGAAAAAGTCGGCGAGTCATCCCCGTCGTATAAGCATCCCATCTCGAACGTACTGAGAACGAGACGCAACGCGGTTCGGCGCCAGCCGCGCGCGGGGCATCGGTCTGGTTGGAGAACGCTTTTTTGCGTCCTCGGCTCGCGCTGGGATCTGCCCTGACGAGAGCCGCCACCCACGCAGTCCAAAATACATCACTCGAACGGAACGTAAAAAGAACAAATCGAAAAAAAAGAAATCATATCCTATCGTCATATCGTCATCAAAATCCCACTTTCCCATTGAAACTCCCCATCCTTGCTCTCCCGCTCGACAAGCCGGCACTCGGGAGCGCCTCCCTGACCACCTCCGCCTCGCCCTCCTCTTGTTCTTGCCATTCAGGCCCGGGTCCGGGGCCGAACCCGCCGGGCGTCCCGTCGAAGCTGTCGTCATGGTCGAACCCGCCGGGCGTGCCGTCAAATCCACCCGGCGTGCCGTCGAACTCCTCTCTCGCTTTACCCTGCACGAACCCGCCGAAGTCCTCGCGGGATTGTGAAGCGGGGTTGAGCGGCGAGGGGAAGGTGGCGGTCGACGGCGACGCGAGGGTCGAGCTCGTCGCGCTGGATTTCGACCGGGTGCTGCGGCGGTCGGATTTAGACTTGGACTTGCTCTTCTTGGACGACTGGGTCTTCGGGATGGGCGGCGCGCCGACCAATGGTGACGGCGTCGACGGGGAATACGGCGGGGCGTCGCGGTACGCCGGGCGGCCGTCGCCGGAGCCCGAGCTGCGCCCGCTCGACCGGGACTGCGTCTGCGAGCCGCCCGCGGACAGTCTCGGTGCCCTGCGCGCATATGAGAGCCCGTCGAGGTCCGCCTCGTCGTCATCATCTAGAGGAATCGGGGTGGGCTGCGGTTGTGGCGGTGCGGTCTCGACGTGGAGGAACGGCGCGGGGATGCCCGCGTACCCGGGCGTCCCCGGCAGCGAGGGCGGGTCGCTGCTCTCGCTGGGGAGGCTGCGCGCGACGGCCTTCGCCATCCTGCGCATCTCCTTCCGCGCCCGCCGCTGCGCCCGCCGCTCCACGTCCGCCTCGGTGAGCTCGCGCGGCTGCGCGTCCTGGGCGGCGCTCGCGAGGAGGTCCGTCGTGCTCCCGCTCCGTGTTAACCCCAAACTCCGTCTATCCCCAGGTGTGCCCTCCTCGCCCTCCAGCCTCACCGCGCCCTTCGCTCTACCACTCCCAAACAGGTTCCACCCCCACAGCGAGATGTGTCGCGGCGTCTTGGGCGGCACCCGCCTTCTCCCCCGTGGCCCGAGGTGCGAGTGCAGCGATATCGCGTCCGCGTCCGCCGCCGCATCTCCTGCCCCTCCTCTCCCCCAGGCGGCGTCGTCGTCGTTGCCGGCGTCCGCGAGCAGCCCCTCGAGCTCGTCCGCCCGGGCTCGCCTCGCCACATAGCGCCCCTCGCTGTCCGTCCTCTGGCCCCGTCCTCCCTGGCCCTGCTCGTCGTCGTCGTCGTCGGGGAGCGCCACCCGCCCAGCGCTCGCGCCAGCGAGGCACGGCACGCACGCGCACCCAGCGGATAGCGCGGCGTGCAGCGTGTCGCGCCACGTCGGGGCCTGCAGCGCCATCTCTGTCTCTTGTCTTGTCTCCTATTCGGTCTCGGTGCTCGGTACTCGGTGTGGTGGGCTGCTGGGCAGCGCAGGCGGGGAAGGCGGGGAAGGGAGGCGGGAGAGGGAAGACGAAACGCAGAGAATCACCTGCCCCTGCCGCAGTCGTCAGCACAGCGTGGAAGGCCGCGTGGCGTGTGGCGTGGCGTGATGATGTGATGTGATATGATATGGTACGATGCAAGTCACCGGGTCCCGATCCGATTCGGCGTGACGTATACCCGGCGACAGCCATACCCGAAGCCTCTCGCTATCCCGCGCTGCGCCGCGTTCGACCCGTCCCGGCGCCGCGTTCGACCCGCCCCGGCGCCTTTTGGATTGGACGTGAATACTTTTTACTTTTCCCACCCGCCCCCATCATCTGACTCCGCCCGTCCTCTCCCCCGTGCTCTTGGCTCCACAACGCGGTCGCCGCCGCAACCGAACGAACGACAAACTAACTCTGCTCTAGCCTCTGGATGTCCACCCTCTGATCCCCAACGGCACCAGATCTCCACGCACTGCAATCTGCAGCAAGCACCGTTTCTTTTGTTAAATACATGTTTATGAAGAGAGCTTGATGTTTACAGCCTGTGTCCCCCCCTTGAAACGCGTGAAATGAGAGCAATGGTGAATGCAGAAACAACTCCACAAACAACCAAAACACCCAAATCAAGGTCTGTGTGTTCGGGGCTCCATGGAAAGTATATCCATGCTGCAACCCATAAGAGCAAGATGATAGTGCCTAAGTTGAGGTGGTGTGTGTGTGATGGCATCACTGATGACAGTGATGATGTTGATGGCTTGTAAGCTGGTGGTGGTGGTGGTGGTGGTGGTGGTGGTGGTGGTGCAGATGTTAGGTTGGGTGGAGAGGAAGGAGGTGTTGATGTAGGATAGGACAGATATGACATACAGAGTATGCCTCTTGTGGCCAAACATCCCCACAACAACAACCCACTCCACAATGATCCCAACCCAAAACCAACACCAGAACCCAAAATGGTAGTGGTCACAGTCACAGTCACAGCTGGTATGTTGTTGATGAAAGTAGATACATTACCTGTCTCTTGTGTTGTCTTCATCCTTGAGAGTAGAACAGCTAGCATCAAGAGCATCAGTTGCCACACCATAAATGGCATGAACAACTCCAATATGGGTCGCTCCATCCAAAGAGGGTGACGTTCCATAAAGGGAAGCGCATCTGAGCATAGTTTCCCCATCTTCATGTCTTCACATCAACCTAGCACTTCAATGTCCAAAATTTGACGATAGTTCCGGTATATCAGACAATTTGGCGATAGTTTCGGCGTTCTCGGGTAGTCTCGGTGTTGTCGGATAGCGTTCTCGGGTTCGGATCACGTAATCACAGCGTTTGTCGTCGTTGTCGTCGATGTCAAAGACCTTTCCACTATGGGGAGCAAGACAACCGCTATGGGGGGCGCATTGAATTCTGGGGTATCTAGCACAAACTCGGGCTCAATATATACTACTCGCTTATCTAATTTTGATGGCCCCGGCCGCCCCGGCCACGGTCACGTGCTGTTTCACTGTAATGTTTCGCCCACTTGCGACGCGTCTCACCTCACGTGTTTGGTTTCACCTCGCGTTTTATCTACCTCCCCGCGTTTGGGTGTGCGTTTGAACCATCTGCGACATGTTTGAGCCCAAACGCGTCCGCTATTGGCTCATTTCGTGTTTCCGGCTCGGCCGGCCGCCGGCCCGGTCCGTATCACGTGTCGGCCAATGTCCGACCGGTCAAAAATGGCCCGGATGGCCGTTCCAGCAGGTTTCCAGCGCTCTACGCATCCCGCGCTCGACACCCTCCCATCCAGCCTACCTGCCATCACAAACAACACCCAAATCCCGGGAACCCGCGCACCACACCTGCACCTGCCGCACGTTCGCCACAGCAGAAGTGCTTATTGAACAAAGATACACCATTTTTTACTTTTTCTCATTCTGTAAACTGCGACATATCCCTCGCTTATACATTGTGGCCGACACCGTCGCTGCACCCATGCACGCATGCTGTCCAAATGAGCACCTGGTGCATACCCGGAAGACAATCCTTTCTTCGTTGTGCTCTGCAGCACCATAGACTGCATAATACATACCAGCTAGCTCCTGTGGATATATCCCCCTGGGGGATCCCCGGATCATGCTGCACAACTGCATAACTGCCTCTATGTCCATGCTGCATGTATTACACATATGTGCCACTGCTGGTTCAACCCAGTCTCTGCTGCAGTGGCTCCTATTGATGCTTACGTGTTTTTTGCACCCCACATATGGACTATGGTATGCACTGTGCACTGTCGTATTTTTCATCACCTGTCCAGCAGTTTTTGAATTCTTTGTGTCCAAGAAGAAAATGGAAAATCGTGATTTTGATTTTTCACAATTTCTCCTAGGAATGTTTTGTAGCTGTGTAACATGTAGCTATCATTTCCCTCGTGATAGTCTGGTGATGCAAAGTCACCTTAAACTATTCTAACTCTATAGCCTAAAGAATATATATATATGAGTTGATAACTGCTAGTCCATGAATTGAAGTATAAGTATCTCTAACTTATGTCACATACAATGACTCTTTTGTTCCCCCTGGCCACCCTCACCCTAGATACCCTCAGCTAGTAGCGACAAATGTTGTCTGCACACAGCCCTCTAGTGTCTAGTTTCTATTCCTGTTGCTGGTTTGACTTGGCAATGGCCATGGTGAAAATCAATGCATTTCCTTTTTTGTTATTCCAATTCTGTCCTTGCACTGGGACCACCCCACTCACTGTTAATGCCAGCATTCATAGCACAAACCCACGATTGTAAGATGCTCACTATCTAAATACCTAATAGCATAATATTGTTTTCACTTTCTTTCTGTATTCATAAGGGATATGTTTTGTTAAACTAAGTGATTAGTAATAAGCAATCAAATACAAATTAAAATCCCAGTCTGACCAGTGTGGGAAAGCAGGTTACATTTATAGTTGTGAACTGCTAGAGAAATATTATGGCATCAACAGTAGAGAAGTGGTTAGCACTTAGTTAGCACAGGTGGGTCTGGAACTTAAAGTTATTACGAGATGCAGTATAGAGGATATATTTGGCATGTGGAGCCTACTGGCTTTTATTCCAAGAGATGAGTGAAATTGGCAGAAGATACAGAGAGACATATACATAGTTCCTATACTATAGTATTTTTTTCAGTTCCCATGTCACGCATCACACTTGCCATAAAATTAGAATTTTTTTTGCATGTCACACCATTCTGCTCAAATTCCTGCCCTAAAAGGGCAATTTCTGATGTTTCTGGACGCCTCCAGAGCCAAGAACTTCCTAATTAGGCAATAATTTGAATTCAAAATTTTATATCAAATGTCATACCATTTTTGGCATTTGAATTGAGTGGAATACTACAGTATATATTTAATGATATACAGATTATCCCTGGGATAGGCCTGGGCCCCATCACATTCAAAAATCTGGTCATCTTGTGGAGGAATTGTATCCATGACTTGAGCAGGACTATTATAGTCCTGTGCAAAAAGTTGTGTCAAGGACAAGCCTTCTTCACCACCCATCTCTTCCCAAAATGCTGCAACATTGTGTCAGATTGAATCAGATAATGCTGTGAATTACATACATGTCTTATGTTGTCCTATTAGTTCTAGAACAGGACAGTTTAAGCTCTTTGCAAAGTCTGGGGTGGTAGGATCATATCCCTTTGCAGTTTGTATAGTCCATAGTTTATGATAAGATGATTGTCTCATAGAGATAGCTTCACAATAGTCATCCAGATCCAGAGGGGGAAATCCAAGCTCAAGTGCTTCAATTGCACTTAATCTCTGCTTCCCCTCAGCATCCAGAGACCAAAATGCAATGTCCTCTGATTTTGCAGTATCAAAGAGTGCATAGTTTGCATGACATAGTATAAGAAATCCCTGAGGGCAGCCATAAGATGGTAGTGTAAAGCCAACTGAGACTTCATAACCTGTTATAAATGCTACCCAAAATATCTCAGATTGAATTCATATGTAATTATTGTATCTTACCATAAGATTCAGACTGATTAGAAGGAACATTCAGTAAAGAGAAGAGATATGTGACTTGGCTTTGCCATATTGTGTAAGCCATATCTTCTCTGTCTCTTGATTCAATCATTGCAATGAAAGAGTAGTCTCCACAAGATGTATCTGGTCCTATGAAAAGACTAAAAGCATGATCAGCATTCCATTCATAAGGCAATATAATAGCTCTTACTATGACCATCCATTTGGTAGATGATGTAGTATGTCATCCCCTGTCCATTTATACTTCTTCATATATGTGGGCGATGGACAACTTGCCACAGGTTCCCAGACAGAGTTAATGTCCCTCTTAATAATCATATATTGCATAGGACGAAATCCTAAGCAATATTTCCTGTCTATGAAATAATAATCCAAAGGGCAGACAGACATGAGCAGATCTGCTGGTACTGTCCCTAAATCTCTGAATGGTGGTGATGTGTTGATCCAACAGGGACCATAGGGACCATAATAATGTAGACACATATCTATAATATATCGAGCATATACGTGGGCAATGTAAGTTGGACCAATGCCCAGACATAATTGCTTTGTTGCTATATTGAATTGAATCACTGTGGGCTGCAAGTTCTCAATAACGATGACAAAGGAGTGTATGTTGAGTTGACATACAACTGTTTGTTGCTGGGGAGCAAAGCCTATGGAAAGGCCTATAGCATGTGCCGCTGACTGGTGGTTGTTATGAACAAAGAGGGTGATCAAGTCTGAATGCTCACTGGGAAGGCACATAGCTTGTTGCAAAATTAGGTTAAGTATGAAATCAATACCTAGATATTCATACTCACAGCATGAAGAGTTGCCTTGATCCAGTCCTCTGTAGATAGATACTGGTACAGCTGATCTTCTAGTACAAGTTCTAAAAGAAACATTAAATGCATGAACCTTAGTAAATTGCAT